ATAAAGGCAATCAGCATGGTGTCTGTGTCTCTTCTCTATTTTACTAAATCATTATTTATATATGCGTATCAATATTAGTGAAATACTGCTTACTAGTTTCTTGCCAGAAAAGCTGTTTTCAAAATGACGTTATAGTATATACACAATCTCTCTGTCTCTGTCTCCCCCTGGATCTTCCTTCCTCTCTCTGTGTGTCTCTCTTTTTCTCTGGATAAGCATGATGATTCCTGTTGTTGGTGCCTGGTGGTGAATACATTCAAAATATTCTCTTAAACATTTTAAAATATACAATACTTTATTTTTTAACTATATTCACTCCATTGTACCAACTGTGTGGTTTTAAATTAGAGAACATTATGAGATTTATCTTAAGCAGAAGTAGATGAAGAGGAATATTATATAAACTAGCAAATGTCCTGTATTATTAAGTTTGAAATTTTAATCCAGTAAATATTTGAGTTATAACAGTGAGTATCGGACTGGAGCTGTGGCGTAGCAGGTAAGGCTGCACCCTGCAGTGCTGACATCCCATATGGGGGCCAGTTCGAGACCCAGCTACTCCACTTCCCATCCAGCTCTCTGCTATGGCCTGGGAAAGCAGTAGAGGATGGTCCAAGCCCTTGGGCCCCTGCGCCCATGTGGGAGGCCCAGACGAAGCTCCTGGCTCCTGGCTTTGGCCAGTTGGGGAGTGAACCAGCAGATGGAAGACCACTCTCTCTCTCTCTCTCGCTCTCGCTCTCCCTCTGCCTCTCCTCTCTGTGTGTAACTATGACCTTCAAGTAAAATAAATAAATCTTAAAAAAAAAAAAGTGAGTATCTCAGGAAGATTCTCCATTGAGCAATAATAGGAACTTCAGGCAAATAATCCCAAGTATAATGTTTAAGTACTAGTACTGAAGTTCTATAGTAACAGTGGGACTAATACCATCAGTGCTGTCTGCAAACTGAGTTAGATGAGCCATCTGAAGATGTGAATAAGGCCCATTTCCTATCCAAGGATCATGTGTCGTTAATGGAGTCTCCTTAGTCAAAACTGCCTGTGAATTCAGCAGAGGCTATTGAAAAACTTTTAGAGTGCTCTTTCCTTCCCTTCCTGATATGAGAAGTAATGTTTATAAACCTGAATCACTTTTCTAAAATTTGCAATGGCACAAGCTTTTGTTAATTAAGTAAGTATAAATTAAGTTCCTATATGCAAAACTCCACCTAGCTACTATGGAAATGTGAAGTGCAGTGAAACACATATTTCTTCCTCATCATGGATTTTTTTTTTTTTTTTGACAGGCAGAGTGGACAGTGAGAGAGAGACAGAGAGAAAGGTCTTCCTTTTCCATTGGTTCACCCTCCAATGGCCACCGCGGCCGGTGCACTGCAGCAGGTGCATTGCGTTGATCCGAAGCCAGGAGCCAGGTGCTTCTCCTGGTCTCCCATGCGGGTGCAGGGCCCGAGGACTTGGGCCATCCTCCACTGCACTTCCGGGCCACAGCAGAGAGCTGGACAGGAAGAGGAGCAACCGGGACTGAATCCAGCGCCCCTACCGGGACTAGAACCTGGTGTGCCGGTGCCGCAAGGCGGAGGATTAGCCTATTGAGCCGCAGCGCTGGCCTCATCAGGAATTGATAGTGGTAGAGTAAAAACAGTTTCCAAATTTCTATTTTGACAGGTTTAAAGGTAAACCATGATGCTGTAAAGGAGTAGAATACAGCTCTGAGGAGCAATGAGGATTACCTCACTATATAGTCAGGGAATTATCTCTAGAGTGCAATGATAAGTGAATAGAGAAAAGAGAGGAAAATGCATCGTGCATGCCTATACTGATCTGATAAAGAATTAAATTTTACTATATGTACATGTTTACTTGCTTTAAAAGTTAGAAGGATGAACAGAAAATGTTGAAAATTTATCATAGGAGATATATAGGAGAGGAGGAAATAGGTTGAGTGTATAAGTGGAAAATTACCATCTGTTAATCTATTTTATTTCTAAATTTAGCTTTGGAACATTGTAAATATCTCACATAACTAAAAGTGAAAAGGAATTTAAAACTCAGTTTCTTAAAAACAAATAAAATGCAAACAAAAATGTTCTTTTTCTTTTTTATTTGACAGGCAGAGTTATAGACAATGAGAGAAAGAGACAGAGAGAAAGGTTTTCCTTCTGTTGGTTCACTCCCCAAATGGCCGCAACAGCCAGTACTGCGCTGATCTGAAGCCAGGAGCCAGATGCTTCCTCCTGGTCTCCCATGCAGGTGCAGGGGCCCAAATACTTGGGACACCCTCCACTGCCCTCCCGGGCCACAGCAGAGAACTGGACTGGAGGAGGAGCAACCGGGACTAGAACCTGGCACCCATACGGGATGCCAGCGCCACAGGTGGAGGATTGACCTAGTGAGCAACAGCGCCGGCCCCCATAAAAATGTTCTTAAATGAACAATGAATTGGTGGCAAAATTACACAAGGACTTTCTCAAATGACTTTAAAAAGCAGTCAGATAACTAAATATTCCTAGAGAGATGTAATTTTATGACAAAAAAAAAAAAAAACTTCTCCCAAGGGAGATTACATAAAGCTACAAATATTTCAGGAATCATGTTTTTTGTAGTAATATAAGTATTATAATCCCATTCTTGATTTAACTATACATAGTTTCTATTATATGCTCTTCCCCCATATCAGCTTTATTGGCTGTAATTCACATACAATAAACTGCACATATTTGAAGTGCATGATTTCACATATTTTGGTACTTGTACGACATCCATGAGACCATCACCACATTCAAGAAAATTAGTTTGTTCATCTTCCTAGAAATTTGTTTCCAACCCCTCTTAATCTCTCTCACTCACAACTCCCAGTATCTCCTCCACCAGCTCCAAGTAAACCCTGATTTCATTTTTTGACTGTAGATTAATTTATAGTGGCTTCAATTTTCAATAAGCAGAGTCTATAGTGTACTGTACTTTTTAGGAGATGAAAGTCTAACTTTCTTATGCACTAAACAAAATTATTGTGAAATTCATTTATGTTGCTGCATTTATCAAATCTTCACTCATTTTTATTGCTGAATAGTATTCCATCATGTACCTATACTACAATTTACTTATCCATTCACCTATTGAGGAACATTTGACTTGATTCTAGATTTTGATTATTGCAATTAAAGCTGATATAAAAAAGCATGTGCAAGGCTGGCACCGCAGCTCACTTGGCTAATCCTCCGCCTGCGGCTCTGGCACCATGGGTTCTAGTCCCAGTTGGGGTGTCGGATCCTGTCCCAGTTGCTCCTCTTCCAGTCCAGCTCTCTGCTGTGGCCTGGGAAGGCAATGGAGGATGGCCCAAGTGCTTGGGCCCTGCACCCGCATGGGAGACCAGGAGAAGCACCTGGTTCCTGGCTTCAGATTGGCACAGCAGCCATTTGGGGGGTGGACCAATGGAAAAGGAAGACCTTTCTCTCTCTCTCTCTTTCTCTCTCTAACTCTGCCTGTAAAAAAAAAAATGTGCAAGTCTTTGTGCAAAGAGATGCTTTCATTTCTCTTAGGTATATATTTAGAAGTGAAATGATTAGGCCATATGTTAAAGTGTATGTTTACTGCTTTAAGAAGTTGATAACTTATTTTTCAAAGTAAGTGGACATGTTCCATACCTTCCAGGAATATAAGAGCAGTCCATTTCTTCCACTCATTAACAACAATCAATATTTTCCATTTTTAATGGCTGTTTCATTAACAGATGTAAAATGGAATCTTACCACAGATTTAGTTCATATTTTCCTGATGACGAATCTTGCAAAATCTGCTCAGTGCCTCTGAGCTTTTGTCAGGTGGCTATTCTTAAAATGCATTTGAACTCTTAAATGTCATGGTCATATAACTCTTTTAGTATACCTGTGACACATTCTTAATTCAGCAATTATGATTGGAAGCAGAAATATAATGCCAGCAAATTCTATTCACCATTTTTCCCAGTGTGATCACCATTGCACACTTCTCCATGGAGCAGAGCTATAAAAATATCGATGCTCCTGATGATATATCCCATCATCCCCATTCACCTCACCTTGTGTCTGATGGGAACATAGCAGATGCCCTTGATGTCGTCCTTTTATTTGGAAAGAAATAAGGCATCCATTTCTGCACCATTTTACTATCTCAGTCTATTGAAAAACATAAGAGAAAGGCAGTAGTGTAAAATAGATAATGAAAGAAATTAAAATGAGAAAATTATAAAATAGAAAAAAGGAAAAGTACATAAAGAATGTGACTGAACATAGTAGCAAAAAAGTAACTAAAATAGTTATAAGTGAATACAATTTAGAAAGGAGTGGAAATATGACTCTCTAGGAATCTAACATGGCCAAGCTTTGGAACAACGGTTAAGACACTGCCTCAGATACCCATATCTCGTATACAAGTATCCAGGTTTGAGATATTGTGCTCCTGATTCTACCCTTCTGGTAACTTTCACACTAGGAGATGGTGGTTATGGCTCAAGTGTGTGTCCTCTGATACTCATGTGGGGAACTCTGATTGTATTTTCTGCTGCCAGCTTCCAACTGCCAACACCCAGTGCAGCTGTTTCAGGCTTTCATTTGGGGAGTGAAACAGCAGAAGGGAGATCTCTCTGCATATATACATCTTTCACATAAAAAATAAATAAATAAAAACAATCTAACAGAACCACTGATGAGGCCCCATTAAAGAGAGTAGTGTGTTAAGGAAGAAAGAGTGGGGATTTGCCTTGAAATCTTTTTGCTCATCATCCGTGTATAATTCAGTCGATTGCTTAAGCTCCTTCAGCCTGAATTTTGCTCCTCAATGATATCTGCCTCAAGATATTGTCATTAGGAATCGACAAAATAAAAAGTGTATGGAAGATCCAGGTGCTGTCACTAATGTTCACTAGTGTATGCCAGGAGATCTGTTAGGAAAAGCTGAAAGTCAGCCCCCACTAAAAGAAGCCTTAGTAGAGAGTCCACTGGCAGAAAGTATGAACTGAAATGGATTGGGCAAAAGCAGCAATTTATTCATGTCTTACAAACATGGTCTTACAAACATCATATAGAGCTGCACAAAAGAACAGACACCATCTCGTACACCATGCTCTCTTCCAAATCACTTCTATTGAGTTAAACATCAGAACAAGTCAGTTACTGAGTTACACAGTTCTTCAAACATGGACAACTCCCCATTAGGGTGGTTAGTTGGCTAATTAGACAAACAATTAATTTACAAGTTTAATATGTTGCAGGAACTGTAACAGAATTCGAGATATTCACATTGATATTGTAATACAATAGAAAACAATACGGTTTTCAGATGACATATATCTTCCTGCCCATTTCTATTCCTTTCTTGTTTTTCTTCTTTCTTTTATTGAAAGCAGTCATAAATAGTTTTACTCAACGTTTCACACTCAAAAACACTTCAGATTTTCAAAATTAAAGCTATTTACAAATTACCCACTGTAATTCAAAAAGTTTCTGTGGTTGGTTTTGTTGTTCCACTTTAAAAAAATCACCCTCGTCTAACAGTCATGTTTCAGCTGGTACGATGATTAACTTCTGGCTGCTACAAAAGAATATTTAGATTGAGTCCTCAGAACTCTCAGAACTCCAAAATATGTCATATTCTACGGCCTGTGATGCTACATGTACAGACATGAAAAGGCCATCTGATTTATCCAGACTACACACTGACCAAAGTTCATTGCATGTTGCTTTTACAGAAATGCTGAGTGGACCACAGTGCTGTGATGCGACTTTGTAGTGTAATGAAGACAATAAATGGGGAGTATTCTTTCTCAATACCAAAGTTAGCTTAAAGCACAAAAAAAGAGGCTGATTTTCAATTTTTGTACAGACAGAATGAAAGACATTTTTATATTAGGTATAATCATAAAAAGCGTGTATAAGTTGTTTGAAAAAATGCATTTTCATAGAATTTTACAAACACTGTGATATCAAACACATTCTCAAAATCTGCTAAAGTACTGACACAAAACCTGACTCAAAAATGTACATTTTCAGTAGACTTTTTTCTAACTTGCATATTTAATAATTCAACTGTACCCAAGTTTCACTCATACTTCACTAAAAATCCAAATATAGTGCATTGCCTTTGAGTTGATTCTTTCTAAAGAATCATAGGGTGCTGCTTTCCTGTAATAGGTTTTGAATGAATTTTAGGATCCTGACACTGGAAAATGGTACAAGATACAAGTCTGTAAACTGTTCTACAGATAAGAGCTCAAGACAAATTAGCCTAGAAAAGATAAGTAAAACACATACTTTGTTCTGCTAATTTGACTGCCTAAGTATATTTTGTGTGAACATACGTAAATTATATTAGGCTTGCTCTTTAACTATTTTTAAGCCATATTACTTAGCTTGTTAGTTTGTTGGTTTAAATAACACTTTCTATCTGGCAATGTACAAACCTTCAAAGACTTTTTTCCTTCTTTTCAAATAGTAGCTTAGTTATTTCTGGCAAAGAATAAATTAAATGAATAATTAGGTGGTCATGCTCACTCTGGGTACAGAGGATGGCCTTGAAAGTACACTTGCACACTGTACACATTTCCTATAAGAAAATTTTGTTTCTAACTGGATTTCTAGCTGAACTTTAAATCTGTATCCACTAGCTAATTCAACAACTTTACGAAGGGAATAGGGGTTTCTTAGGCCACAGTGAGGCTTGTGACAGGCAGTGAATAATTCAAGGCCATGGTTCTTATGTGAGGTTATATTTTACAACATTTGACTCACATGTAACCTAAGCAGAAGAAAAACCATATTTCAGCCACAGTATTCTCAATTCAGCCCTTTGATAAAGTGATTTCTCAGCTTGTTCACTGTCTTTTTAAAATGAACCTAAGTTATTTCTGTTATGATAAAAACTGTATCAAATAATTAAAAATTGAAGAGAAATGACCAGATATTTTTATATGCAGGACAATCATATGCACATGACATAATCAATAACAAACTATAGAACATTTCTTTAATATCTTTGGATTTAAAGAAAAGTTGGTTTCCCCAACCTGCAGAGAAATGGATGAATTTTCATAAGAGAAGGCATGCTTTTTACATTTAAATCTTAACAATCACATGGACATCCAGTGACATGTTCCAATGAGATCATCTCCTTCTAAACCACAACCATAACTTGAAACTCTTACGCAGTATTCACAAAATGCTTGACTACTTCCTTTTCTGTCACTGGTGATTCACAGGGGAAATTGAATATCTTATGAAAATTTATCCAATATCTCTAATAAAAGGGGGGAATTGTCATGATACACATTTACAGTTCGTCTCTGACTACTGGTTCAATCCATACCTAACAAAAAAGGTAGCTTGCTGTCACAAGCTTGCAATCACGTTAACAGATAGAAAGAAAATTTCTCCTTGTCTAATAAAAATGCTTCAGTTCTAAGTCATGGCCAGGATGCTAACCATCACAGAGCATATGCCATTTGGCGATTTGCCTCCTGGGGTAGTCACAGATCTCCTTCCAGTGCTCTCCACCGCTTCCTTCTGCTGTGGCACCAAGGATCAACCTCCCTATCACCTCATTTCGAGATCCCCTTTCAGAATCCAAAACCAGAAATTCAACACTTATTTCTTCAAGACCCTCACAAGGAATATCGAAAACAAACAGTTCGTTGAACACAGCATTGGGGGTGCATTTCTTCACATGAGTCTTCTTTTTGGAGATTCTCTTTTTGGCATGGTACAGGTTCACTTTGACGTAGGGATCTGCAACAGTACATATCAGGCATTACAACGTCATAGCCCAGCTGAAGGCCTGATCTCCAGATAACTGTCCTTAGAGATCAGCCCATGACAATGAAAACTGGTCACTCTGGGAACAGTGCAAGCCAGAGGGACTTCTCTCACCAACAAGATCGAAAGTAAGGAAAAATAGGAAAGCAGTTGACAAGAAAGGAATAATGACAGAAAGAGGAGATAACTTATAACACATTCTGATTACTAACAACTGACTCCAGATAATGGGACAGAACGACCAATAAGTAAATAAATAAATAAACAAACAAACCCTTAGGCAATATCTAACCTAAATGAATTCTGTGACCTTGTCTGTCTGTCTGTCTCTGAGCTGGGGCTGTTTATTCTGTTCAGTGGGGACTTGGAACCAACAATGGCAGTGCTCTTCCTTGCTTCAACTTGCTGTAGTTCTTTAATCACCAGGAAGATTCACTTTGTGTTTCCTAGTGCTGATCCTCCCTGTGTCAGACTTCATGTCTGGATTTTAGGATCATTTTACTTTATTACATCTTCAATTACATTATTTTGACATTTTTCTGGTTATTGCTTATGAGTTAATTTTAGCCACCTAAGCTAAATTTTAAGACCATGTTTTTCAACTTCTGTCATTACATAATAATAATGACAGCACTAGATGGCATTTATGAGGTATATATTTCCTGCTTCACAATGCCCTTAAGGTAAGTATTATTATATCCAGTTTGTACAGAGTTTAAGAAACATATGCAAGAATATGCTTAGAAATGTTAGGGTCAGATTACTTTAACCCACAGTATATGTTCTTGCTCACTGTCTTGTAAAAGAAGGGTTGATGATCTGTTGTGTTTTGCTTCATTTTTTAAAAGTTAGTCACAAGACTAAAAGCTAATTCTTAAAATATGTTTAGAATTAGAGGGAAAATAGCAATAAATAATGAAAAGAGTGAGAACAGGTGAGGTCGTTTAAAATATGAAATTAACTCTTCTCCTGAGCTAACTTTTATTTCCAGTTGTGCACTTTTGACAGAAACCTTTCATTTCAACAGTTACCACTGATGTCTTCTTAACACATTCAGCCAGACATCTACCGCGAACTAGCTTTACTTAACTCTGTAAATTTCCTCTTCTCGCTGTGGCACTGGTTACATTGTTATTCAAAAAGAGTAGTAGAAAAATAGTCACATCTCTTGTGATTTTAAGTAGAGGGGAAAACAAAATCATATGTCAAAGTTAGTTGTTCACTATTTTGCTCAATTACTAACCACTTACACAAGAGTCTGAGTTTCATAAACTTGCTTACCTGAAAGTCCAGACACATCAGATTTAGGTAGGTGTCGAGCTTTTAAGACAACCACAGTGAGAGTATTTGTGGTGGACTGATAGCAAAGAGAGATCAGTAATTCGCCCCTTCCTGAAGACTTCTAAACAAAGAGAAACATAGTACATATATTTTTATGTTTATTAAATCTAAAGTTTGTATTTTCATCACAATTTAAAATAAATATAATTGCATTGTTATGTAAGTGTAATATTGCTACTTATTTTTTATTTTGATAAGCTATGTAATGCAAGAGTGACTAAAAGCTTTTGTGCTTACCATCACTGCCTTGAAACAACTGCCTGCCATCTTGTGGTCTTTCCCGGTATTGCAGAATGTTACATTTTTCAAATGTGTTGGCCACACCCATTGCTTAAAAAGGTTTAAAAGGATATTTAAATGAAAGCCTATCCTACTTGGGTGTATTTCCAGATTTTAATTTTAATAGCATCCTTACTTTGAAGTTATTATTCGTAAAAAATTACCAAATTTTTTGAATGGGTCTGTGTATGGTCAAATGACTCATGGTAAGTTGGATTTAACTTCAAATTCATTTGCATTAACATTATTGGAATTTGAATTCAGATCAAATGAGATTTCTTGACTCCTACCACTCTCCTAGCTCAGAAGGCTGATAGGATTAGAATTCTCTGCCTTCCTACTAAATCATGTTTCTGTATAATTCAAGGAATGAATTGAAGTCGTGGAAGAATTGACAAAAAATCTTTAGTACATTGGTTTTGGACAGTGTCATTTCATTATTTGAATGACATTCAGATTGGTTTTGTATTTTAAAGACATTCAGTAAGACACTAAAGAACTCATAGTGTAAGTTTTAACTGAAAGTAACAAAATGCTAACTAGGGCTTTGCTATTAACTAAGAATGATGGATGGGGAAAAACTAAAACTGCAATACAATAATACAAATTCTGGCACAGGGAAGTGATGAGAGTAAACATTCCAAGGAGACCAAGGGTAGCAAACATTTCATTCCACTGTACCACAAAGGAGCCTTGTGCATCACACAAGCTGTGTAATGTCTGTGGACACCGACCTTTATTAGTTTCTACACAAAAAAAGGCAAGGAGATGGCTGAAACAAGTTGTAAAGTTGTTTTCAGCTCTAAAACACTATTATTTTAAAGGCAAATTAGTATGTTTATTATTCTCTATAAACTCTGCAAAATAGGCAGAAATTATCCTGAATTACCACTAGTGGAATCAACTGAGTTCTGGATTTAAAGTGCAATTAAGGTTAAATTTGTTTAAGTGACATCTAGTTCTTTTCTAAAAATCCCAGAACTACCAAGGTAGTATAAATATGATGGCAGAATAACTCAACTCCTATTATGCAACATAGGGATGGACACGTATAATTCAATAGAATGTGATGTCTTTTCTGGAAAGCAGGTCCACAGAAAGTCAATACAACTTCCAAATTCTCAAGAACAATTGATTCAACTTTTAATTTCCATTTCAAATTCAAGAATAATGACCTTGAAACATTTTTGTTAACTTGTTTGTGGATAAGAAATCTGTGTTTGCAGGTTGCATTGATGGTCAAAATACTTTTGATAGAAATTAGGAAATATATTAATATAAATGATATTTAAATGTCTATAAATATGAATATTTATTTTATATCATTAAAATAATTTGAGTGATTCAGTTTTGCATTAAATTTTCTTTTATCTATTCAATTCCCTTGCCCTCCACTTGGTTATAATAAATAATAATCAACATAAGGGTGATACATACAAATTTAAAATTTTAATGAAAACCCCCTTGATACAAAAAAAAACTACACAAAAGATTGTTTATAAATACTTAAGGACTGAAAATTAATTACCCTAACGTTTCTCTTGATGATCTCTCTGTTCATTAACGTTTTCCCACCAGATAATTCAATTCCTGAGAGAGGAATAAGGACTTCCCCAATGATATCATCTCTTGAAAACCTGTCAAAACTCAAAATCGTGAAGTGCAAGGTCAGCTCTTGGATCTGGGTATAGGGGATCCCGTAGAACGTAAAGGTCTCATCAAAGGCTGGGTCCAAGGTTTTCCTCAGCACTCTGGTTTTCACTTTGTGTTTCTTCTCTGGGAGGATCGTCATTTTGATGTATGGGTCGGAGGTCATTGTCTGCTCATCCATGGCTGGCAAACCACGGGCTTCCTTGATATTTACCACAAATGCTTTTTTCTCAAAGTTGTACTCTAAAGAGAAGAAGAGAATTCCCAGCTTCTCTTGTTTCTCTTCTGAAGTAACAGAAGTGCTGGACTTTAAGCTATCAGGGGAAACTGCCTCTTTTTCTCCTTCTAAAAAGAGCTTCGGGGGCACATTCTCCAAATCAGATGGGCTGGCAGCTTTGATGTTTGTTTTTGGAAAATTACCATTGAGATCTCTCTTCTCAAGATCAAGATGCAAGGAGTGCTTAGGCACAGCCGGCTTATTCTTTGCTTCATTTTTGTCATCTGCCCCAAACTTCTTTTTGCTATTCAGGTTTTCAGGGTATATATCAACTCCTTTGAGCACATGCACAAACTTGTAAGGAGGTGTCTTGTTAGACTTGGAAGATTTTCTCTGACAACATATCCATGCAAAAAGAGAGACTGTGAAGACCAGGCCAAATGCACTGAAGATCCCCACCACAGTGGGGATTTCATCTGAAAAAATCAAATGATCGGCAAACATATATTAAAGGAGCAAAGTTGGAGATACAAGCCTATTTGAAAAGTGAACAGAGATACCAATTGCTGTACATTGGGCAGACTATTTTCAAACTATTCTGGGATTGTTACGTACATAGTTCACATGAACTTCAAGTGTAAATACATCCCTTGTATGACACACAGAAAAAAGTACAACATGATAGACACTTTGGCATTTCAGTAGTTTTTCATAAATAAAATGAAAATGTGGAGCTGGGCCTGGATAGATATGGGGATAGGGAGTGGGGGATACTGGCCCTGATCTATCTTTGTTTTCTTAGATAGCATGAATCAGCTACAACATGATGGATCAGTACTAACTTGATTACTATTTAATTGGTTTTTTGAGGCTTTCCAGAAGCATCAATCCTTACTGAGCCTGAAACACTTAATATGTATTCTGAAACACTGAGATATTATGTATCCTTAGTAGTTTTTATTTATCCAGGATTTAAACAGCAAATTCAAGAATTGCAATGGTTCATGCAATGTTAAGAAATGAAATAGTATCTGTGATTGCCAAAAACTCATTAATTTTTATTCCACCTGTGGAACAGCAGTAAAACAAATGTTCATACATTAGGATAAAAAAGAACAAAAAAGAAGAGCAACAGGATGCTAATATCATGTTTACAACACTGCAATCCCCTTGCACACTAACCCCAAGTCCCACAATAAACTTTGAATTATCCAAAACAAAAATTAATTACATTTAAGTAGGATATAAACAAAACAAGGTTTATAATTCAATCAGGATTTCTTAACATCTAATGAGAGATGCAGAATAGATAATTTAGAGTTCAGTTTTATCCATAACCATTTCTCCCTAGCAAACAACCACATGGCCAATGGTAACGGTATTGAAATTACATTCTTTCCTTGAATGAGGGTGCATTAAATTATTATATTAGATAATAGTAATTATACATAAAGCTTATCATATTTCATATATTAGCACTATTTCCTAAATAGATGATTAGTATATGTGCAAATAAAAACAGTACTCCTGTATCTGGGCATAGTATATCAATTGAGTTGCTGTTTAATACATTCAAAGTGAGTATAACTAAAACGCAATGTTAAGTGCATTTACTTCCATTTCAATCTTTTCTTTTTATTACAAAAGCTAAAAAGTATAAAGTTAAAAGTCACAGTCAGGAAAGGGTTAAGCCTTGCTTAAATAATCCCAAGAAGATCAATCTTTTGTTATTCCTTCCCTATTCTCTCAAACAATCTGCCATCTACTTCACAATCACAAAACTAAACTGAAAGTCTATAAGACTAAGGAAGAATAAATAAGAGAAAAATCCAGGAAAACAAAAAGAAAAGAATAGCAATTTATCATTTTGAACATATAATTATATTTTTCTTTATTATAAAATTCTGTAGTTTAATGATGTTGAGAAACTGAATCATGCAAAGCTGAAATAAATTTTCTATGTCTTAAAATAGAGTAAAATATAACAGTGAATGCTGCAGAAAAAGAATGAGGCAAGAGCTAAAGATAACCAGCCAAACTTAGTATCAGCTTTCAGTTTTTCCTACTATTCAAGTCTTTGTGGCAGAAAAATACACCCCTCATACAGACTCTAATAATCCAAGGCCAAAGAGCAAAACCAAAGTCTTGAACTGAAGCAATTCTTCAGCCGGTGTAAGAACGATAAAAGCAGTAGGAAATGATTTTTTCTAAGTAGACTGAAAGCTGATGATAGAACATATGACTCATATTTTCACTAGCACAGACTCTAAAAATGTTTCACTATTAATCAACTATGATTTCAATCAGGATCATGAAATAAACATCATAATATACATCCAATCACATGGGGTGGAAAATTGTGAAAGAAAATCATATATGACCAGAATAATATAAACTGTATTTAATACTTATGTCAAATGGAAAAACATTTGGTAAAGCATGAAAAGATTCACTCAGTCCTGTGCATTCTCTACTGATATGGTCTTCAGCTTTTGAGAGCAAAGATCAGAGTCGCTTCATTCAGTTAAATAAAAATTTTCACACATTTGCAAATATCACTGTTAATCACAAACTTCTATAAAATACCATGTTTTTTTTTAGAAAAAAGGCTTGTAAAGTAAGTAGAATTCTGATCTCTTGCCTTTAGAATAGAGTTAAAGCTAAATATACTACTTTTTCTTATAAGAAATACATCTAGTTTTACTTTAACAGAGAAAGAAAGCTATGGCGTCAAAAATTTTGTATAGGAAAAAGGAAACAACTGGAAAACACAAGCTCCGATTCAAGTTTCCAGCAGCTTTTGGATAACGACACAACCTGAAATACTTTCCTCATCTCTTTGAGCTTCACTTACCTCACCAGTAATGAAATAGGCTGAGACAGTTAATTTACAAAGTCCCTTTAACTGCATTATCATCAGATTCTTTCACTAGCAACACATTTTGAGGATGCTAAACAATGGAAAAAAGCATGCTTATGCCACACTCTCTAATAAAATATACATCTCAAACCCTCAGTATGCAAGTTGCTTTATACCAGATCAAACTCTTATGTAACCACAGATATATCTGCCTCCTCCTCATAAAACACAGATTTACCTACATGTAAGAATTCCCTACCAAATAAATGAAATCAGAATATGAACAACGGACTTCTGTTCCTTTACTCAGCGCATGCTACAATTCACAGAGCTACCTGAACGTTGAAGAACTTCGTGAAGGTAAATTCCCCCTTAGAGAAGACAAATGTAAAGAGGAAAGACACAGAGACAGAAAGAAATTGCAGAAATAAGCCACGATTGCCCGTTTGCTGTTGTCATTTTCCTTTCAAATTAACTACATAGGAAATCTATGTTCAATTCCCAGTGGAGATGGAAAAAGGATAAGAAACGCAGTCAACCCCGGAGCATCCAAAAAACAATCGTGGCCTTAAGTTGAGGAAGTTCCTTACCAAATTCTTCTCTGCTGGTAGCTATAGGAGCCATTTTTTGCTGCGTGCTCTGTCCGAGGTGCTGAACGGAAAACTCCCTGGCTTGATTCACTTGCTTGGATCTGAAGCGCCGGCTTTCCCGAGTGCTGAAAACAACAGCGCTGAGCTCAGGAGACCTGCGCCTGGAACAGGGAGGAGGCGAAGAGGGAGGTCCGTTCGCCCTCGCACAGTGATTTGCCACCTCCGTTCCTGTTTTGGCTCTTCTGAGAAGCTCGGCTCCGAGACTCCAGACGTGGCTGAAACCCGAATTGACGCAATCCTGACGCTACAGGGCTGAAATCAGCACCTGCCCCCTTCCTCTCCTCTCTCGAAGCTGCTCTTTCTCCCCCTCCTCCTTGCTTCCTCCCTCCTCTCTTGAGGATTCAACACACACTCATCAATTATTTTAACCGTTGGGCTACTAGATATTAGCTTTGCTATCCTGTGGGGCTCAGAGGTACAGAAAGTGATTCCTGTCAATTCCTAATATAAAATCTGCAGATCACTTAGATGAATCCAAATTTATCTCGGCTCTCCAAATAGCAGGAGTTACAGAAGAGATTTAAGAGTAATTATAGAGAAATTTCTAGACCAAGTGACTCGTAAAATACTAATATGAAGATATGAATTTCTTTCTGAATTTTCTTTGACACACACAAGATACTTAGAAAAATCTGCAAATTGAATAATTTGAAATAAGATAACACTTTTCCCATTATAATCCTTTACGTCCTAATACATTATCAGCCTAGATATCTTTGCTGATGCTACTGCTCTTCCCTCATCTGTCAGCTCCCTTCCATCTAATATCTGACATTCGACCAGTTAAAATACTTAGGAACAGATGGCAGTGATCCTTTCTGTATTCAGACCCACCCTCCTATGACTTGCTTATGAGACCACTTCTGTAGTGATATTTATGGTTCAAGGCCTAATTTCTCATATTTTTGTGCAAAATAGTTGTAAGAATCAGAACAAAATTTTTTAAAAATAACATTAATTAATTATTGCTTATTGTCAAAGGAAAACATGCATTTTTTTTTCTGAAATGATGTTATTCTTAGGGGCCAGAAATAAGGGGGCAATATAACATCAGAATCCAGTTAGTTTAAATCTGAAGAGTGTGCCTTTGAGAAACAAATGTTTAGCAGTTTTCCAAAGGAGAGACTCAGGCTGTGACTCCAACTGTCAATTAATGCTCAGAATAAAAAAAGCATAATAAAAAAAACTTCTTTGCAGTGGAGCTCAGTGAGCAAGTGACATTCAGTGTGTGCTGGAACGGGGGAGGAGGGTGGGTGGGGTGAGTCTCAGAAAGCTACTGTACAAGTGACAGGTTCCTGCACATTGGCGATCAGCCACCCTAAGCGTCAGGGCTGTATCTAGAGAGAAATTGTTTTCAGTTCTTTGCATCATGGAAAATTTTATAAACCAAAGTCTTTTTCTTTCCATTTCTGGTTGCTCCCACATATTTGGCACTTTAATGTTCATCTAACAGATTTTTAAATTCTTATATCTTCATGTTATGAAAACACACAAACTAATTTACAGTATTTAATTTTTCCATTGGCAGGGTCTCTGGTTGTGTTCTTATCATTCCACTTCCTTCAGAATACCTACTTTCTCAGTTATGCATGCACCTGGTGAGATGGTTCCTGGGAATAAACACCCATTTCATGGCAAAGAGGATGGCATTTATTTGTGATGCATATCACAGTTATATCAAATATATGGTGTGAGGTTTACTAAAGTGTATGCTTTCCAGCTAAGTTATTGCTAACATATGGTTAGGCTTATTTATTGTAAACATAAGTACCTTATGTACATGTTCTGTATAAATTAGTTTCTCACTAATTTTACCTTCAGATGGTATAATGCTGTCATTTGAAACATGTTCAGATTGTTTGAGCTATTTCCTCTGAACACCACCCAATCCTGTGCTTTCTCATTTCAGAGGGCACATTGTGATAAGATTACTTCTTGCCCAACTGTAATACTGTTGAGGATATAGTTATTGTTTCATTGCTTGCTTTATATACAAACTGAGAACACATGTTATTAATGAAAATGTTTGAAATTTCCTTCATTTTCATTTAGTGAATAACATTTTAGTTCTTATACAAGTCTGCTTAGATAAGCTTCAGATGAGGAATGGATCCCACACAGAGAAAAACTGGTTAAGTTACTTATGATTGAGATTTATGCCCTACCACATTACTTCATTCCTCTTTTGGAATCAGCAAACAGACAAGCAATTCACTGACGTTTGCAGTATCACTCTCCCAGCAGATACTTGGGAGGAGGGATTGTTGCTAGGTAACAACCTTTTCAGCACCCAAAACACACAGCTTCAAACAAGTTCTTGTCCTGGAAGAATGTTCTGTACAGGTGGCAGCATTTACTTCAGAGTGATTCTTTTACTGGTAACGTGTTCTGGCATTACTCAACTCCACCCCCTCACCCCTGCCTTCTGCAATGGCAGGTATCTGTTCAAAAGATCTTCAGAAAAGTTCATGGAAAATGCATATGAAAAATCTGCAAGCATTTCAAAATATGTTTGAATCAAAATAAACTTACCTTTTAATTCCATTTTCCACAAACTCTTTGAAGTACCTTTGTATCTACTTTGAGAAGCAACAATAAAACATTTAAATTCAATTTGATTTAAGGATGTTAAGATGTTAATTAAGACCCTCAAGTCCCACATTGCAGGGCCTGGGTTCAAATTCCATCCCAGATCCTGATTCCAGCTTCTGATGACCCAGGCCTTGGAACACATCATGTGTTGGAGCAAGGTGCCAGATCCCTTATATTCATATGGGAATCCTGATTAGAGGGAATACTAGCTCACAGCTTTTGCTCTAATCCAGACTTTGATGCGGTGGGCATGTAAGGAGTGAATGTGCAGATGGGAGTTGTCTCTCTCTTTGCTGCTCAAATAAATAATTTTAGAACAATTATAATTTTAAAAGTATTGATACTCCATTGCCAATTAACATATAGATTTATAAAGCTTACATACATGATTTATTAATTAAATAATTTAGTCCACATTTTCTTATTCTCTTTCCTGAAAAGGTATATGCAGTTCTATTTAGAATTGTCTGTTAAGTGAAAGTAAATCTCCAAAGGATTTTTAAAATGCTACAATGATCTTCAGAAATCTTTTGTAATACCCAGATTGGTAATACAAAAGCATTTTCCTGGTATGTGGGTGGAGTAGTCTGAAATATCTGATAATGGGAAATGGATAATTGTTTTAATGTTCCATATAATTCTATTTAGAATTCTGGCTCTAATGCTGATGGGATAGATTCATATTACAAGCACACTCAAGTTGAAATTCTGTAAGACAAATGCTTTCCAAGTTGATACTGGAGAAATTCTTTTACTACATACTATTTCTACATTTTTTTCAACATAGGAAGTGTTTGCCATTATCTTACTTCCTTTCTTCTTTGTTTTAACACACATTTCCAAATTTGTATTCTGCCTAGGTTTCATACGAAGGATTCATATTTATTAAAATGATAAAAAAAGATCTTTACCCTGAAGAAGTTTACAGACTACAGGAGACATTGACAGTCCTTCATTTAGAACTGGAAAGAGTAACTTATTCAATTGTAATGACATTTACATTTCTTTTGCCTGATACTTTCTACAAGGCCTCATCTTTCATTTGGGGAATAAACTATTCCAGGGCCTTCATGCTTATCCTCTCCAAATATTCTTATTGATCCCTTTTTTCACGATGTGAATTCATCATGAATCTTACCCAAGAAAATTACAAAAAAAAAAAATCCTCAAATTGATATAGTGAGTAAAGTAGCAAAGCTATAAAGAAAAAAATGAAGGCTAATATTTTTGCCATTTCATAGGATTAAGAAAACAATGGTTGGAATTAGGGAATTATCCAGGCATCTCAGACAAGACAGCAGGGTCTCAGTTCTGGGAAAGGAACTGTGTACAAGGAGTCATTTATGGAGTGATTTTACACTCAATACACATGCTTAGTTCCCCAACTTTCCAGGTAGAAAGCCATAGAAGGGGCAGGTAGGTGATGAAGAATTTAAGAATATTGTGAATCCACATTCCATATTGAGGCACCTTGGTTCAAGTCCAGGCTCCATTTTCTATTCCAGCTTCCTGCTAGTGCATGCTGGAAGGACACAGTGGATGGCGAGTGTTTGAGTTCCTGACACCCACATGGGTGACGTAGACTGAGTTCCCAACTCCTGGCTTCAGCCTGTCCTATCCTCAGCTTGTGCAAGCATTTGGGCAATGAACCAGCCGATGAATGATAACACTATCTGTTTGACTCAGTCTCTCTGTATGTGTGTGTCTCTCTATATTTAAACAAAAAAGATAAGTTACTGAACATCAAAAATGATGGTTTCAACTGACTCATGGAGCTGAGGAAACAAAAGTCTTAGCTGATTATTTACTGATGTGAAGCATTCTTAGTAATAACCATGGACTGTAATTGAGATTACTGAAAAATATATCAAGGGGCTCACGTGACTCAGTAGGTTAATCCTCCTCCTCAGTGCCAGCATCCAATATGGGCACCAGTTCTAGTCCCAGCTGCTCCTCTTCAAATCCAGCTCTCTGCTATGGCCTGGAAAAGCAGAAGATGATGGCCCAAGTGCTTGGGCCCCTGCACCCACGTGGGAGACTGGGAAGGAGCACCCGGCTCCTGGCTTCTGATTGGTGCAGCTCCAGCCATTGTAGCCATTTGGGGAATGAATCAACAGAAGGAAGACCTTTCTCTCTGTCGCTCCTTCTCACTGTCTATAACTCTACCTCTCAGATAAAATCAATAAAATATTTAATAAAAAGAAAAACATATCAAAAAGATATAAATTAGCAGTTACATGAACATTATAGAAATATGACCCAGCCATTACTTAGCTTAGTTCTTGAGTGGAAAAATATGACATACTTCAAAATGTGATAGTTCATGGAAAATAAATTTTTAAAATGTGTTCTTCTAGTGTAATTTTTAAAAATAGTATACAGTGTTTTCATGATACACATAGTCTATGGACTTTTTGATGACACCCTATATTCTGTATCCCAATGGCAGGCTGCTAGAGAATATTCAAGCTCAACTGATACTATCTAGAACTGCATCAGTTTTTCAAAGACAATATTCACAATCCAATTAAAAATATCAAGCTTAATGTGAAATTGAACCAAGTAGAAAATGCCCAACAAAAATAGCTACATAGATTAATGATATACAGTCATTAAAATTTTGAAAAAACATGATAAAATAGAGGTAGAATTAGAACTTTTAAC